AGCCATTCCCCCTCATCCTATCACTACATGCCCTTGTAAAAAGTCCTTCCCCAGCTCTCCTGTAGGCTCCCTTTAGGTACTGGAAAGCCGCAATAAGATCTCCCTGGAGCCTTCTCTTCTCCAGGCTGAACAGCCCCAGCTCTCTCAGCCTCTCCTCATAGGAGAGGTGCTCAAGCCCTCAGATCATCCTCGTGGCTCTCCTCTGGACGCGCTCCAGCAGGTCCATGTCCTTCTTATGTTGGGGACTCCAGAGCTGGATGCAGTACTCCAGGTGGGGTCTCAGGAGAGTGGAGTAGAGGGGCAGATTCACCTCCCTTGACCTGCTGGCCACACTTCTTTTGATGCAGCCCAGGATACGGTTGGCCTTCTGGGCTGCGATTGCACATTGCTGGCTCATGTTGAGCTTCTCATCAATCAGCACTCCCAGGTCCTTCTCCTCAGGGCTGCTCTCCAGCCATTCCCCACCGAGCCTGTATTTGTGCTTGGGATTGCCCCGACCCAGATGTAGGACCTTGCACTTGGCCTTGTTGAACTTCATGAGGTTGTCCAGCCTGTCCAGGTCCCTCTGGATGGCATCCCTATGATGATCCTGTGCAACCTGCTCTAGGTGAAGCTGCTTTGGCAGAGGGGTTGGACTAGATGATCTCTGAAGGTCCCTTCCAACCCCTATCATTCTGTGATTCTGTGAAAAAGGGATAAGTCATTTTCTCTTCAAAGTTACTTTCATCTAGCATCTCCCATTCCTTTTCCATCAATTGTGACAATGTTTCATACACAGAAGGAAAACAGAACAGAGTAACAGGGTGACCCAAGCAGCCACCAGAGAAAGGCAAATCCATCACCCATGGAAACAAAGCACTGTGCTATTTTCCTCCATTTCTGCCCAAGATGCTTTGTCCATCCGCGGCCTGGCCGTGTTGCGCAGGCAGCCTGTGCAACATCCCCACTGAGGCAGGGATCATCCATGCTCCAGGTGCCCACATCCCAGTCGGTGTCCCCAGGACTCACCTGAGCACCATTCTCCAGCAGCACCTTTGCACAGGCGACGTGGCCACCCAGGCAGGCCTCATGGAGAGCTGACACACGGTCTGTCGTCACCAGGTTCACGTTGAAACCCTGCAATGCAGGGTGAGGGGCATGAGGGGAAAGCTCTGCCTGAACCCTATGGCTCCCCTGGGGCCGGTGGGATCATAGCAGGGGGGAGCCGCCCCACTGGGTGCATGTCCAGGGAAGATAACATATTGGATTAATGCTGTTCAGTGCTGTGGTGCTCATCTCCAGAGACAGCAGCTGGTGATGGGGTCAAAGAGTAAGCAAAGACAAGCTATGCCTTCTGTTTCTAGTCCTTTACAATGAATGGTCAATCACAGGAAAGACATCGCGTTCCTTTAACTTATTAGGATGATGTTAACTTCCCTATTAAGTCCAGCGGCAGGAGCTACAGCTGGTGGGATTCACCTCTCTGAACAGGGATGCGTTTGGTACAGGTATCAGCAGCTGTTTCTAGTACGTTAGATGAATTGTGTCCTAAAAATACTTCCACCGAGTATATGGGGTGCCCAGTGTGTTTCACTCAGAGGTTTAAATACCTGGTAGACCCCTAAAACAGATGAGACAAATCCCTCCCATGAATCTGTTCCTCTAATTTGACCACCCAGGAAACATTTTACACAGAAGAAACTGTGATTTACAAATTACTCATTACAGGTATTTCTCTAAGTGACAGTTCTTACATCTAATCTTGTGAAAACAGAAACCAACATATTCACAAAGGGGAAAACAATTTTCATATGTGTTTTCTTCAGAATGCAGCTAAATCTCCTCGTAAGTACAATTTCACAGCCACCTGTGAGAACGGGCATGGAAGAGGCTCTGTTTTCTGCTTGATGTGCGGTATTTTAAAAGGCAGCTGGTCCCCACCTGACGTGCTATAGACTCGTGAGCTCACAAGATGGCAGCAATGCACTTTTTGGTAGGCAGTGGCAAATGCGATGGGCAGAAGTATCTGCAAGCAATGTAACACTGTAAAAACCACGAGTCCCTATGCAATAAGCGTTTAAAGCAACCACTGTAAGATAGAAATTCTGTGATAGAAAAACAATTGCTTTTTAGTTACGTGAAAGCATTATTAATGTAAAAGCTGCCACTAAAAATTCCCCATAGATTATATCAGTGGCAGGGGAACAGATAAAAAACTTGAAAAATGTTGAGATTATTCCATTTTCTAATTGTATAGATGTTTCATACTTAATGATCAGCATATTCCTTCAAGAGGAATGTCTTCTAGGTAGTCCTGAGAAGAAGAGAGCTAGTCTTAATCATCATTCATATATATATTTTTTAAAAATGAAATTTAGTTATTGCAAATGAAAGAGTAAGTATCGAAGTCTTGGGCAAAACAGTTATGCCTTCCATTGCGAAATGGGGATTCAGTTATAGATCTTACTATAGCTTTCTGGCAAACATTGCTCACTTTAAACCTTGTTTTCAGATGGTTATAAATACTTTCCATTGTATCTGAAGAATCAAACTCTTCTTTCGGTGCTAGAGCAGGCAATGGTGAGTTCCTGAGCTCCTCTAAAACTCCAGCGCTCCATCGTCCCCTTATGTCCAGGCATCCTCCGAGGAGCAGAAACCTCACTGGCTTTCTTGAAAGCTATGCTCCTGCAGCAGAGACTTCCGAGTGCCCCACTTATACTCTGAAGTATAGCTCCATATTTAATTTTAGGCCACTAGTTTAAGTATATTAGAAGCAATGAGCAATGATTAGGCTGCTCCATGAACAGCTTCGTCCCTACATTTATCAAGTGGTGGTGAATCAGCTCCAATTCACTCTCTACAGACATTGCTGCCTTGATCTGTTTTCATTAGCAAGGACCCTCATCCTTCACTCCCAAGATTAAATGTCTTTGGGAGAAGGAGAAAGACTGGATTAATTAAATGATGTATAATCACAACACCGGGTGCTTCTCCAGTGTATAGCCATGACGAATGTATAACCGGGGCATCTAGTGTATAACCACGACACTGGGCGCCCCTCGCTAATGAGATGGTGTAAGGTCAGCATAAACGAAGATAGAGAGGGTCAGAAAAACAGCAAAGCCCTGGATGAATGAGCCCTCTTCCTTATTATCTCTAACCTCCATCACTTCCTTTTCCATAAGATCATTTGATAACAGCACGAGAAGGAAAATGGGCTCGGGAAATGGGAGGAGGGAAACTGGCTGTAAACAGCAACCTCTTTTAGCCACCACCATGCCTCAATAGATGTCTGGAAGGGAGACTTTTACACTGAAAGCTCCACTCCTTGAGAACGTTGTCCATTTGAGCTGTGGCCTCCCTGATAAAAATTATTAACTTTGAATATAAGAAATCTGATGGCCAAGTCACAGAGCTTACACTCAGGGCATTAGTTTCCCTGCAGTTGTCTTGATTGGGGAGGTGTTGGGGGGGCAGTTGCTCATTCGTGCCACATGAGGGCATGGAGTTCAAGCACAGGTGGTAAGTAAGATGGTTGGCAAAGCACGAAGAACCACAACCTGTCCCTTTGCAGCTGCTCACTTGCATATCCAGCTTCTTGTCCTTTCTAGTATATTCTTTCCTTCTCTCTCTCTGCTCTGAACTCTTGGTTTCATTTGGAGCAGAGGGTTTCAGGCTGACAGCATTCTCTTTAGGAAGACCATGCTTGCTGGTTTTTAAAGCAAGATGTACTTCTACAGCTTTCAACGAATTTTTTTTAAATAGCTGATACATATGTGTGTATATATATGTATAGTCCCTATTCTCAAGACCTGTTTGCATCATTTATCATTGAGAAAGAGCCTAAGGATCATCATTTATCGTACAGCAAGCTACAAGCTGTAACAGTCTTTGTCCTGGGCTTCTCCCCAGCATCCTAACTAAGCAAACTAATACATGCCCAAAGGTGTGCACACAGAGATATTATTTATACAACTGTATTTCTCATGGCCTGCTGGAGTCTGTTACCACCTACTCACAGATGCAATTCAACAGAAACTACGCTGCTTCCCAAACTTTTCTTTACCTGTGGGCTTTTACCTGGGCAATCAAGGTTTTCAAAGACAGGAGGCGTCCTTGGAAGGCAGCGTCATGAAGAGGAGATCGGTCTGCCCAGCTGCCTGGAACAGCAAATGCATAACAGTTAATTCAGGTAAGCAGCAAAAGCAGATCCTGGGAGGACAGGGAAAAAAACAGCAGAGTGTAACTGCAGATCAGGACTGAAATCAATGAGGGCTCAACAGTGAAACCGTTTGATAAATTGATTTCAGCAGAGCAGCTGAGCGCTCAGCACTCCTGAGAAAACCAGCCACTTGCTGAGGGACCTAAACAAAAGCTTCTTGGCAGAACTTCTAAAAACAGCTAAAAACACACTTCAGCACAGACCATGAGTTTAGTGCTGCTGGGATTCACCCAGGGACTTCAGAGCCCTGCAATTCTCCTATTCAAAACTGTATCAGCCTCTGCCCTAAGGAGCTTTTGTCAAAAATAGTATTCCAGATTCTCTTGCACTTCGTTAAGAGACTCATCGCAGGGAGACCCAGGGATGACTTGTCCATCAACTGAATTCTGGCATGTTCCTGGCAGTTTTATTTCCTGAACTGACAATTTAATAAAAAATATCCTCCAGCTCAGACTACCAGGCAACAGGTTTCATCCTCCTCCTCACTGGAAGGTTTCAGAAAAGGCATGGAAAAATAAATTCTGCCTGAGGCTTTACTTTTCTTCCTTAATCATTTTGAGTTGTTGAATTGTTCAGACTCCTTTATGTATGCTAGCTTGTCCTTTTTCTTATCTTAATCTATTCACGTGCCGAGAAAAGAAATTCCTTAGCTGAGCTGCTACCTACAAGCATAGTCTGTCAGCCCAGGTTAAATCCCTGCAACTCAAGTGGAGAGCAAATTTACTTGTCCTATATTAAAATTTATAACCATACCGCGACACAGTGTGCAGTAAGTATTTCTCCAAAGACCAGCTGCATTTACAGTGCTACAGGACAGAAGCAATATCAGTGTTTGCATTCATGCTCTGTTGTACGGCAACCCCATGAGCACTGTATTTGAAACCCTTGTCCTGTTTAATTTTTTCAGCTATGCTGCACACCAGAGAGAGTGGAAAGGGTGATTTATCTCCATTTCAGGTATTACCCGAGGCGGAGAGAAATCAATGAGAGGCACAGACACATCCCTGGGGACTTCAGGCCAAGGACGCGGCAGAGGTTTCAGTCTTGGCTAAGGGAGTCTCCTTTTGTTACTGGAGAACTGGGATGCACTTCAGCTCATGGGGTTATGGTTTTAACTACAGTTCTTACTTTTTCTTTCCATTTATTTAGGGAGTTGTTCCTGGGTTCCTAGGGCAAAAAGCTGGCATGGAAAGACCATGGAAAGACCATGGAAAGACGGCACAATATGTGACCAGGTTTCTAAGGACCAAGTAGGATGTACCAGCCAAAATGATGAAAATGGGAACCCAGGAGGGACCAAGAAACATTTTTCCCGAAAACATCCAAAAACTCCACATCCCTCATCATGCTGGTGACTGAAATGTGCAAGCTCAGTTCAAAAGTTAGAAGACATTACAAGTGACAAAACCCAGGGCCCTTATACAGCAGGAAGACTCAGACGTAACTCAGACAGCAGAGCTACAGTGCCTTATTCAACCTCTTATGCATATAGCATAGCACGTGCACGCACACGTCACATGCATGTGTCACGCACACACATGCCTCACCATGAAAACACATGCTGCTGCATATTGCCACGCTCGCCACTGCAACCTACCTCCCTGAAACGTGTGGCAAATATAGTTCCCATACAGGGCACATCTTCCCTTCACAGTTGTGAGCGACATGGCTGAAAACCCTGTGTCTTTTGAAATTTCTACAGATAAATTAAGCAGCCCTGCTGCTGCTGCCGCTGCGCTACTTCACCGCAAAGAGAAAAGGCTGTGGAGCTGCGTCTGTAATCCAATATAGTGCCCCAGCAACAGCATCACATGACCTTATGTTTTGAAAGATTATCCTTAGTGGCTTTTTGCAAATGGCAACTTGCAGATAAAAATATGTTGTAGTCTGCTAAACTTCAAGGCACCTCAGTAAGAACCTGCATGAAGGAAAAACTGCTGTTCGCCGCATGTCTGACTACAATTGCATGAAGCCTTTTGGAAAAAAATGACAGTAAAAAATGGTTGGAATTATATTCCGCAAATTAAGAAGTAAGTTAATAACCCAGAGAGGGACATGGCTGTATACAAATGCTTTGTAAGAATTGCTTTTCTGCAGTATTTCTCTTGGCCAGAACTTAATAAAGCGGCTTTGGGCGGCCATCCCGCAACACCCATGTTCTGCTCACGTTCACGTGCCTGTTCGTGGCGGCACTATTCATCATGAAGCAAGTGCCCAACAAATGAGTCACATAAAAATCTCTGATGTCACAGGGCTGATAGGAATCTTCAAGTCGGAAAATATGTTGTCAGTAGTAGTAAGTTTAAAATACTGTGTCATTTTAATTAGTGGAATTACCGGGCATGCAAACGCCTGTCTATTCATTATTATGGCAGTGATATGAAGGAGTAAAAGCACTTGGAAAAAAACTCAAAAAAATAAATTACCTACTAAATGGCCAACTAAATACAATATATTCCCATGCTGTATATTTTTCAAAATACTTTTAGCTGTATTCATTTTTATCATCTGATTTAACATAACAGGGATTCTTGGCTTGTAATCATAAAGTCATTAGTTATATCCTCCTTGCATCCCCTTTCAGAAATCAACACGCTAAAACTTTTCCCTTAATATTCTCTGGCAGTAAAGCTAGCTGTTTAGTAAAACCATCTGTAACCCCCGCTAAAGAATGCCTTGCTTCCGAGAACAATCTTTTTATTTACTGTAGCGCTTGGAGCGAATGTTGTCCTCATTTTAGCTGGGTAATTGTTGGAGTCTCATATTTTGCACACCTCGATCATGCCAACACATACTGACACTGCAAAGACCCCAGAAATGGAAGGCACTTCAGGTTAAAACGTTCGCCCACGCATTTAGTAACAGATTCCTCATTTCATGGCAACTCAATGATTTAAAGCCTCAAGTTACAAAAATGTAGCAAATATACATTTGAAAGTTAGAGTGTCCATATTTTTTTACTTTACCTGGGACTATTCCATAGATCTCTTCTGCTATCCTGGCAGCCTCTTTTCTGTTGCCTTTAACAATATAGAAATGGGTCAGCAGAGCCAAGGAAATCTTAATTAAAAGCTTGAAGCAAAACAAAGCAAAAATGGCAAAATAAATGTTAGTAAAAGCATGGAGTATAGAACTGCCCTCCATTTTGCTTTGCTCTTTGAATAGTTTCTCAGGTCGGCTAAGTTGCACCGGGCTATTCTTGGTATCATATGTCATCTATTTTAATCCCTCCAGAACCTGCTGTTCCTCAGTTACCAAAAATACATTCTGGTTTTATTTGGTATGGGCTATTTGATACTAAATAACAATACCAAGGATAAGATAGTTCGAACATCCCGTGCCATACAGGAAACAAACAAAATCCTTTCCAAACCCACAGGAATACGGATACTAGAATAAATTTTCAGGCAGATGCTCTCCATACCACCTGAAAGCCCATGCATCCACATTATATTTATTCTTTGATGTAGCAGTTTCATTTACAAAGGCTGCATAGCTAAAGTTGCAGAAATTGTTCAGAGATACTGCAGGAAGGATACTTTTCCATCTTTTGGGTCTTGGTAACCGGCCTTGCTGGTACTCAGACGCAGAACAAAGGCAAGCATATCAAAGAAAAGCATTATCATGAAAGAATCTGAAATAAAACCACATATTTTCAAGGCCAGGGCTAAGAAGTCAAAGTTATTCTAGGAGGGGAAAAAATATATGGGAAGTGTGTAATCAGAAACACATGATAGCATACTGGTATTTTCCGTCACTCAGGGATGCAGAATGGCGTCCATTAATATCCCTTGTGAACAGCATCTTACTGTTTTGAAAAAAATTGAAATATTTTTACACTATCCATCATTGATTTAAAGGTGCAAGGTTTGAAACTAAGGAAAATGCACACTTTCTTTAACTACGCTTTTTTGTTTCTGAAGGCACATGGCTTCCATAGAGAGGAGAGTATTTTTTCTGCATGTAATTAATTGAATCTATGTAGAATATCCCATTTCCTTTTCGTTTAAACTATTCTTTATTCCTATTTTCCTATGTGCATAGCAAGAGGGAGATTTATTTCTTTCTTCAAATACCCTCCTTGACCAATTTCTCTTATCCTTCAATTTATGCACCTGTCAAGAGAAAGAGTGGGATGACTCTCCTCTCTTAGAGATCCCAAGGAGATGGGGGATATGCAGAAGAAAATTTTCCAGCAAATTATTTCCCTGGACATTTTAGATTCAATTTGTTTTGTTTTGTAGCAATCCAGCTGGCTTAGTACCTTGCCCTCTTCAGCACTCTGCCCTCCCAGGTGCCCTAGAATGCTATATAAAATACATGCAGACAGACTGAAAAAAACACCCCAAGCTACTTTTTCATTTTTCAAGGGAACCAATTTTTCTAAAATTCTGAATTAAACCAAGATATTACATTTTTACCAATAACTTAATACCTTACGTAAGTATTACATATACCTTTCCTTCCACAGTAATATAATATAACTGTAGAAACTGTAACACCTAGGAATCCAAAAGGGGAAAATTGCCTGGTTTTAGTCACTTGAATACTGTTTGCCATAGGACAAGAGAGCTGAAGACAAAGACTGTATGGCAAAAGAAGTTCAGCTAAAGAATTTGAGAAAAAGAGTTAAGTTCGTTCAACTGGGAAACAAAAAGGAGAAATTAGCAAAGAAGGGTGGCCCAAAAAAAGGATAATTGGTTAGACCTGGAAAAATATGAGATAGTGAAAACACTAATCCTGAAGCCAGGGGAATAGCAAAAGGTGTAAAAATCGGAATACAGGATGCAGAGAAAGAGAACAAACAGAAAAAATGAGATCATTACAAAGAAAAAGTGATGGAGAAATCTTTCTCATGGGGGATCCACAAAACTGGCGCTCAGTAGGACATAAGCAAGAAGGAACAGCACCTTTTCAGAGAGCTGTTTAAAGACCACAAAACAGACTTTTGCCTGCAAAGGAGATCCATTGATCCTTCACTACCAGTCTGCCAGACAGTAGGTAGAACTGGACACAACCCTCAGAGGAATACAAGAAGCTGGAGATCAGGTGATTTCCTCTGAAATTCTCTTATCCCTAATCGCGGGTGATACTCTACTAATAATGAAAAGCTTTCCAGCTAGTCTAAAATGCCATGAGGAAGTTTGACCGCTTGGAAGCAATCACAGGAACATGACTCTTCCAGAAGAAAAATCTCCATTTGTGTAGTAGCAAAATCACCCTCCTGGCTTCAGAATAAGACAACTAAAGATTTTTAGTTAAATGATGGAGTCATTTGAGAAAAGCTCCTGTAATCTCTTAATCTGCTTTCATTGTACAAGAACACTAGAAAAATGATTGCAGTGGATTAAAAAAAAAAAAAGAAAATCATCCGTGGGAAGGTGGCTGAACAGCGTGGTGGGAAGTATTAAAACTGGTGAAGGTGGTAGTCAGGTAAACTGTAGCAAGATCTAGGGTGATCACTCGGAAACGTACGGTATTTCTGAAACTAAAGGAAGGTGAGCAACATTACACAGGCATGAGAACAGATATAACACAATGGAACAGCAACGACAATGCAGAAACAGGAATCTCATCTTTCCTCCCTCGCTGTTTTGGGCAGCATTGTTGAGAGTTAAATGAGATGGATTATGCAACTCCATCGATAGACCGCAGTGAACACGTCAGTCCTCCGCAGAAAAACTTGCCTTATTAAGAACTTCTGCAGGATGCCAACACTACTCCATGAATCAGTCTAGCTTTCAGATAGAGTAATTACTAAATCCTCAAATCAAAATATCCAGAAAATATATTAATCCTTCAATAGAATTGTCATGAGATGGTGAATGAATACAAGCAGTTTAGCTACATCCTCCAAAGAACTGGAAAGCTAATGGTTATGCATCCTCAGTTTACAAACATGCAAGGAATAAGCAGAAAAGAAAAGGCAGTCCAGCTTAGAAAACAACTCATTGTCACTACGGTTCACCTGAACTTTAGCCAACAGTGAGAAATGTCAGATATGGCCTGAAGAATTTGGCAAGGAAATAAAGATTAGAGGGATCCTCTTCTCAAAGAAATTAAAAGAGGTATCAGTCTCTTCTTGCCCAAGACACTATGAATTTTAGTGGTGTATTTCTAATGTATATAGTTGAGAGTCTGAATATCAAATATATTCAAAGTAAGACAACTGGGGAAAAAAGGAGAGAGAAACCTTCTGTCTCAAAGGGAAGAGATGGGAACAAAGACATATAGATTGCCTAGCTACATCTTTTCTATCAGCTTGATCTAATAAATGACACTACTTCCCATACAAGCCTTGCCTCATTTGCATCCTTAGCTCAGCACACTTACAACACTCTCGCTTTTAAAAAGGGATGTGTGCAGTGACTCACTGCTGGCTCTCACACAAGCAGATATGGGATTCATCTCACCTATCTGTCACCCATCACACCACCTGAGGTCTGATTACCTAAACTCCTGCTGCTGCCAGGGCAGGAAGACGGCAAATTCCAGCAGGCAATTAATTTCCCCGGTCTGTCTCCAACGCCTGTGCTCGCAGGGGATGGCTCCTTCTCTAGATGCGCAGCATCACTCACTCCTGATTAAACAGCCAGCTTAAAGAACTGGCATGCACGAGACAACTCATTTATGTACGGTTAAAGTTCCGTGAATCCCACACAAATGCCGTCTCCAGAAGTAATGCCAGCGTTGAAGCAAGTCACAATCCGAAAACAATCTAATCTACCTGTTAAGTTTACAAGAAAAATTTCAGTACAACAGTAAATTCAGATGTATAACCGCATCTTGCCTTCAGTTTTCTTCCCTTAACAAAAAAATATCCACATTTATCCAACGATGTCAATGCTGCAGTCATTAGGAAAAACTGTGGAAGTCAACATACTACTGAGTGTCGTAAAAGATGTACAGCAAATATAACAAGTAGCTTAATGATAGCAAATCAATTAACATTAACAATATTTAAATATTTTTTAATTTAGAAAAAGTTTGTAAACCATTTTCTTTTGAGATTGATTGTTCCTGTATCTATTGTTTACATAAAGTCTGTATTTTACTGGAGCACCAAAACGATGCAATTTTACAATTATTTGTTTACAAGCCTAAGCGTATGTGAAAAAAAGGACTAGCAAACATCAAAAGGGGAAAAATAAGTTTATTTAAAAAGGTGCAGAAAAACTTGACCACAAAAATAAATACATTACAGTGCATTTACCTTCTTCCAGATCTATCCACATCCCCTAAAACATAATCTGAAAGACGGATCTTACATTCATATTTTACTTGATACTTCTTCTGGTTTAACACGCAATTTTCAATTATCAACACACTGTCTATACCTTAATTCACAGTGTCTGCATATAATGTATTGGAAACACATTTGTTCCTTGTGCCCATGGGATGGAATTTTATTGCAGATCAATGGTCCCTTCTATGAAAGGGGGTGACCATCTATTTAGAAGGTTTTTGGGTGTTCCCTCCTCCTCCACGCAGGAGGCTCTGCTCTATGCGAGGCATTACTCAGTCAGTATCACTCTCTATTTGGTAACATTTCCTTAGTATTTCACAATAATAAAATGTTACCGACAAGCACAGTTGAAACATTTTAGACTTTTTACATAGTTATTTTATTCATTTCTAAATACATATTCCTAAAATACACTCATTATCTCTGCTCAGTGTTTTAATTACTGTGATTATTTTATTTAAACTTTTCCATTTCACCTGCTGATGCTTTTTAAAATGGTGAATGATGCGGTGACATCATCCCTTACTCCACCGCACAAGGCTGGTAAGTGAATCAGTCCCACAAAGAGTTATGCACAATACAAGTTGTATTACTTGAGAAATAGCATATTTCTAGTTAAACCAGTTATAGATTAAATTTTTGTGGCAGCTTGTGCAGAACGTTTTTTAATCATCACCTTTCTCATAAGAAGCCCAACCACCAGTGATGGGAAACAGCAGCATGGAGTATATTTCTGTACTTTCTAATTGCATGTTCCCCCATATTAATGAAGAATAACCATTCTTTATGGAAAGGTAAATAAAATTTTAGATAAACTGTAAATTTGTCTTGTAAACAAGATTAGAACAAGGTTTTATTATGATATAAGTACACAATGTTCCATAAAATAAGAGAGTAT